ACAGAAGACTGGCTCAGATACTTGCTGATGGCACAAAGGGCCCAGAGGTACATCCTCCCCTCATGTCTACAAAGAACGTGGTAGGGAAGATTGAAGCCAAATCTCTATGTTCCACTAAAGTCATCTCTGTGTTATTTCCCCAGACTGAATAGCCCAGAACTTGGGAAGTGCCCCAGACTTGTCATACGATGGCCTCATATCCTAGCCAAAGACATGTTCTTTGAGTAGAAGGAGTTGTTTTGATGAAGACAGTTGACATTTTGTCAACTATCATGGAAAGGGGGAATTTTGAGGGAGAGTATGAAGGCTCAAACTGAAATACTCTACACCAGATTGGTTTAAGAGCACTTCTATTCATTGCAGCTTTTATCCCTTACATAAACATTTATTGAGTAGCTCTTGTGCCAATGACTCCTCAGGTGTTTGGAATATAGTAGAGAGCAAGGCCTCCTCTCAAGTTTTCACTGTAATTTGGAAATAAGGTCACCAAGCAAGTAGAAATAATAAATAAATAAAATAAATGCAGGTAATTATTGTTACTGTGAAAACAATGTGTTCTATGATCAAGGAAGGCCCCTCTGAGAAGCCAGCAATTGGGCTGAAGTTTTAATAATATTAAGAGGCTTGTCATGCTGTGGATGACATAATAACAGCCCCACAATAACAGCCCTGTAATAATGGCCCCATATTCTCAACTCCATAACCTATGAATATGTTACCTTATGTCCAAAAGGGAATTTGTGAATATGATTAAGTTAAGGAGATAGGGGGATGATCCTGGATGAACCAAGTAGACCGAATCTAATCACTGAGTCTTTAAAAAGGAGAAGAGGAAGGTAGAAGAGTAAGTCAGACAGATGTGAGGTGAGAAGTTCTGGATTGACCATCGTTGGCTTTGAAGATGGAGGAAGGAGGCCTCTAGAAGCTGGGAACAGCTCTAAGCTAACAGCCAGAAAGAACACAGGGACCTTCTTTGCCCTGCAGTAGCAAAGAACTGAATTCTGCCAACAACCCCAGTGAGCAGTACACGGACTCTCCTCTCAAGCCTCCAGAAAGGAACGCAGCTCTACTGCACACATTTCAGTGTGGTTAAGATCTGCACTTGACCTTTGACTTACAGAATTGTAAGATAATAAATGTGTCCATGGTAATTTGTTACAGAAGCAACAAAAAATTAGTTCACATGTCAAGATGAGAGAAGCCTACATTCCATACTATGTCAACAGTCACGCCCAAACCCCAGTGTGACTGAGGTGAATAATGGAAATCAAGGCAGATTTTTGTAATCTATAGGCACTCCCCAGAATTTTCAGAAGCATTTGAATGAGGAAACTTGGTAAAGATATCTAACACCTTGCAATGGGTACAGGTTTAGACTATTGTGAGTGGAAAGAAAAAACAAAGGAAGGAATTACCATGCAAATTGTGAAATCTGGATATTTGAGTTTCATTTGTAACCCTTTATACCTGGAATCACAGTCTGTCTCTCAGATAATAGTCTGCCATGTGGCAAGCACTGGAGTTCTGGGATAGAGATCTTAGCAATAATAAGAAACCAGCCCGAAGAGTGCATTAGTGAAAACATTTGATGAAAAGAAATGGATGAAGCCATCGCAAGTATAGCAAGTATAGCACCACAGAAACAGAAGCCCCAGTAAAGCAGGCATCTGACAGTAAATGAGAGAGGACAGGGAGGGGTAACCCTGGTGGGGCAGAAGAGGGCTGTTTATGGCCCTGAAAGAGCTCTTTTTATTGCAAGAAAGAGAACAGCCTTTCTCAGGGAAGATGCCATTAGTTTTTCCATAGGGGACACTGACCCAGGCAATTTTACCACCTTTCAGAAGCAATCTGTCTGCTTTTCTATTTTACTGTGTTCCATGTGTATCATTTCAAATCTTCTCTTTTCCTCTAAATTGCCTAACCAGCTACAAACAGGTCCCAGGAAAAAGGGAGAATGGATGCTGTCCTGTACCTGGCGTCCACCCATGTGCCACCCCTTTGCTGCTTTGACAAACTACAAAACTTCATATCGGCCCACAGTGAATTAGCCAGAGTGAAAAGCTATTTGCAAGCATGAAGCATCCCTAACGGATGGCAAAGGCAGATGAGACATGTGCAGGGGCATGGGGACGGAAAGAAGGAGACAAGTGGAGACAGGTGTGGACATTGTTTACTGAAGAGGGAACTATGATGGGTAAATAAAAACGCAGGAAGCAATGCTGCGTACATGTCCCGGGGTAAAGGCTGACAAGGCCACCTGGGATAGCACAAGAGTCCCAAAGTCATGACACCTGGTTCTGAACGCTTGCACTGCCACATTTTGGTTGTGTGCTCAACAATTAATGTAACCTCTTGTATCTTAGCATCAGTTTTCTGCACCTTATTGGGATATTTTGATGATTATAATATGATATCATATATGAAGTGCCAGGCACTTGTATGCACACAATAAATATTAGCAGATGTCGTTCCTAATCCTGATATGTAATTTTAAAGTATGGTTAAGTTCTAAAGGGCTTTTAAATACTTTGCTACAACCAGGGAGTGAGTAGGAACATGCATCTCTACGCAGAGAAGACATACCGCAGAATCAGCAAATGTTAGGGCTACAGCACACTTTTGAAATCCTGGGATTTGATCCCCTTAATTGATAGGCAAAGAAAGTGAAAGAAATCCAAACTGTTTTGTGATGTGTTCAAGATCACAAAGCAAATGAGGGACTAGCCAGGTACTTGAAGGCAAAGCTGTCTCATTCTAATTCCATGACTGTCTAGTCAAACAAGGTTTGCTGATTGGTATACTGGATTTGAAATCGTTGTCTTTTGTGATTCATAAGACTGAGACCGTGGAAATCACATGCATGTTTTCACCTACCACCATCACACAGCATTTTATCCCTACCCTGATTACAACTTTTGTGCAGGGAATAGACGGTGCCTATCTCCTATTTCTCCATATTTTCCAAGATTCCAGGTCAAAGGCTTCCCCAGATCTCCTGTGTCATCAATCCCAGTAGAATGATTAGAGTGTAATAGTGTCAATATTTGTAGTGTAAAAAATAAAAATAGTGCTATTTAAAGGTTACAAAGTAGGTGTAGCTAACCTGCGGTTTTGTTTTCTCCCTCCACAATGTTGTAAGACTTTTGAATTTGACTACCTACTCAGAGGCCTCACTATTCCTATTCTCTGGCTCAGCTTTTGTCACATATTTATGGTGTCTGGTTGGGCACCGTAGATTTTACTTAGTAACTCCTGGTACACACATGTGAAGGATTTCTCTAATAGAAAATTGATGTAAAGCTTTCTGTTTAGACATTTTTATTACATTAATAAGAAGCCCTTATATAATTCCTAAGAGTTTAAATTTCTGGGTTTAAGTAAAGAGGGCATGATGATCATCTTAATGTGCCATCTTGGCAACACTATACTCCTAGTTATTCAATCAAACACTAATCTAGGTGTTCCTGTGAAAGTATTTTTGTAGATGCAGTTAACATCTGCCATCGGATGACTTTAAGTAAAGGGGATTACATCAATTATGTGGGAGGGCCTCATCCAATTGGGTGAAAGGCCTTTAGAGCAAAACTGAAGTTTCCCTGAGGAAGAAGAAATTCTGCTTCAAGACTGCAGCATCAGTTTCTACCTTAGAGTTTCCAGCCTGTGGGACTGCCCTGTTGGTTTTGGTCCTGCTAGACTCCACAATTACATATGACAATTGTGTGTGTATGTATGTGGTATGTGTATATGTACACATATATATGTATTTGTGTGTGTATGTGTGTGCATTTCTACGTGTCTGTGTTTCTGGAAAACCCTGAATGAAACAATAGTATACGAAAACATAAGCCAATGGCCATAAGAGACATTGCCAAATGTTTTAGATAAAGTAATGCTAGCTGCTATAATAGATGGACACAAATCTCTGTAGCTTAACCCATTGAAAAACTGTTTCTCACTCACATAATGAAAACCTAATAGGTAGGACTGGGGGTTAGAAATTCAGGTTAACAGAGGCTTGGCAACTACACATGACATTAAAGGTTGCCTGGATAGAATTGAGGATCCTATGAAAGGTTTTATGGGGCAGGATCGCTTCTATCCACTTTCCATTGGCCACAACTCAGGTACACGGCCACATCCAACTGCAAGGAATCATGGGCTCACCATTTCCCAGGAGAAGCTGAATATGTGCTTGCAAAAGAGCCATTCTCTGTCACACCAAATCAATGTTAAAAGAAGTTTCTTGAAAAGTGCTGCATTTTCTTGATAGGGCCACCCGGTTTGTTAAAAGTTTTGTGACTAACTTGTTAGGTATTGTGATCTCAATATCAGAATGAAAATAGAAAATGGAAAAAAAAAATAGAATGAGGTGGCAGAGAAAGCAAAGTCTGAAGCAGGAGACAATTTAAAACAGCAATTAGAGTCTAATTAAATCCAAAGTTTGGTATCATTATCGGAAGTGAGGACATAGCTAATTATGCTGAAAGCAACTTTCAGTTCAGGTTATGGTCATTCAATAAGGGAATCTTTTCTTCCCAGCAGAAAACACTAATTCTGAAAACCACTTAAAAGATTCTCAATAATGGATGGTATGTATGTGTGTGCATTTTAATCTCTTTATCCATATTGTCCATGTGGTATTTAGTCTTTGTACTTAAATCAACAGTAATTGTTTGTGGTAGCATGAGAAATTTTTGCCTCATTGATTTTCCATAGTACAGAAATGTCACATTAGCTCAAGGTGAAAAGCTAATAGGATGTGAATAATGATAATAATAATCAGAATGATAATAGAAAGAATCATATACCTGAATGTATGTTCAAATCCTCTATTGCATATCAAGGCTCAAGTGACATTTCAAATCCCAGGAGAAGAGAGAGAAAATGCTTTGTTAACACCACTCTCTCTAGAATCCCACCCTGATCTTTACTGCACATTTTGAAGTAGATGGCAATTTGCAGAATGAATGAATGAGGACCAAGGACCTGGGTCCTACCTGCTGTGTGCTCTCCCCTCAGTTTTACTCAGTCTCCAGGTACAGTTTATTGGTGCTCAGTCCTCCATATTCCTATAAGATGCACACCTACACATATAAAAGGAGAGAAGCTTCAAAACAGCCATTTGAAATTTGTGACATGCACAGGACCATTGAGGAAACACACTCAAGTTAGGTATAGTTTGGAATGCCAGGGAGACCAGTTATCACTCGGACACCTCTGAGCATTTACTGAGTCTCAGAAATGTTTGCCCAAGGACAATAGTTTATGCTACAGATCTTAAAAATTTTCTTTTCAAAAGGAAAGATCTCATCTTCTTTGCCCACAATGAGAAACTAGCATCTAACTTTGCTTTTTAGGCATTCTAATCCCCTGCTGACAATTGCAGATTTATAATTATAAGCAAATGAATCTATTATTCTATTATTCCAGAAAATTGCTTCTGAACCCAACCCCCCACAGATTCTGTTTGATTCCACTGTGCTACCCTCCCATGAAACGCTAAACTTCTATTTTATAACACTTTGCCACTTGTGATTATTTAATGAATATTTAAATGATTGTTTGATGTCTGTCTTCCCCTCTAGATTGTATAGCTGGAAGCTTCCCTTTGTCATTCATTTCTGTGTCCCCAGGACCCAAAAGAGGACTAAAAACAAAGTAGCATTCAGTGTACTTCCCATGACCGAACCAAGAGTGCCTCATTTCCCCCTATGAGAGGGGGTATAATGGTTCTGTATTCCATATTGAGTTTTACCATGATATTTTTTTCCTTGCTTATGCTCCTTCTATTTTAGGGTATTAACACATAGGTTTCTAGGTAGATAAATTTGCAAGGAATCAGGATTTAAATAATAGAGATGTAAATTTGTTTAACTGATATATAACAAACTTAAACATCCTACAGCAGATATAATGCATTCATTTCAAGAGTTAATAACATATTTTCAAAATGAAAAATTTATAGAGATGGTTTTCGTTCATTGAAAAATAATAATAACCTAAAAAGAAAATGGATAATTGAAAAAGAAAGTATTTAACTACTTAAAAAATGTAAAATATACCTCTTGGGTCAAAGAAGAAATTACAGTTTAATAGCAGATTATTTAGAAAACAATGACAAGAAATTTCTATTAAAACTTATGAGATATGACCCCAGCACTATGATTATGGTATCTTGATATCATTTTTACCTTTTGGAATGAGGACTTACTGAAGAAAGCTGATTTCGGGTCTGGGTCAGAAAATGTATGATCTGAGTCAAGAATACTTTCAGGAAGTTGCTGAGATAGATACCAAGGTATCCAGAAGATGAATGAAAATACCCAGGTATTTTATTTCAGAATCTCAGCAACTTCCTACCCCCAAACCTGCTTTCCCCAGCATCCATCCAGTTGACCTGGAGAACTCTAGACTGTGTCTTTATTTGCTCAGGTCAAGTTAGTCTTCCTAAGTTCTTCATCCACATTGTTATTTATTACCTAGAAGTCCTCACTCATGCCATTAGTCTCAATATTAGGCTTATTAAAGAACTATGGAAATGCTTTCAACTTTTCCAACTGCTTTTGTGGGGTCCAACTGTTCCTAAAGATTTCTAGGCTTTGCATGGAAATGATGATGAAATGTTCCTAAAATATTTTTAAGAGAAAAGTACTATAACTTCTCAGAGATTACACTATAAAGTCAACCAAAGATAAATTATAACAGTGATATACAATGACCTTAAATGGAAAGAAAAATTCCCAGACCAGATCAAGACTTGATGCTAAATCAAACTAAAATGGTTGGGCAGATATTAAGCACCAGATTTGGGGGGGATAATTTAGCAATATTGCAAAAATACCCACGCAAATTCTGATCAAAAGGAAGAGTTTTAAATTAATTAAATAATATACTGGCCATCAAAGAAAGTACACCACAGGAAAAAAAATATAGCATTGAATTTTTCTAATCTTACAACTAATTTTTATTATAAATCTCTACTCATCAAGCTAACCAACAAGGATATGAGAGGAAGTCTTAATTTATCCAACAATTTAACCAGTTGTTTTCATTTTGTTATACTTTGATCTCTTCAGAAATTATTCAGCATGAATTAGTCTCCCTAAATCAATCCAACTCAGCTGTGCTGGCACGTCCAAGTTTCTGAATCTGCAAAGCTGAAGGACCCTGGTAATCTGCTTTTAAACTAACAAGCAGGCTATAAGATTTCTTAAAGTCCAATCAGGCAACTTCCCCTGGAAATCTCCCAACATCTGAATCTCTACATTTTCCTTCTATCACAGTTATGTAAGATGCATCACTGTCATGGAGGTTTTGTGACTGACCCTAACCCATATGGCAATGCCACCATATTTTGTGGATTGTCAATGTTTTAAGCTAGAGCACTGTTTAAATATACCAGCAAAAAGATATATGATGGCGATTTGTTTCCACATAAAATTATGATGATATTTAGGACTGTGTAACACCAACATGTTATATAGTCATTAACTGTAAACTCTATATTCTAACCATTACCATGCACTATAATCACCATGATTTACAATTTGTCCAGCTATTAGCAAAATGGAATGTGCCTCCTCTGTCAGGATTTCACAGGTCAGAAATGATTCTGAAATCCTGAAATACCTCTCTATATAATAAGCCCTTCGAGAGTTAGGGGAGACCCAGATCACAGGCATAGCTCTGCAAGACCTAGTGGACTCTAGCAACACATTTGGTAGTGGGACCACATGGAAAAGCAGAGCAAACAGGCAAGCTAATTTCTAATGTCAGAAAGCAATTAAATATTAATTGCTTTTAAAATTCTTTTCTACAGAATTCTCTTCCTCTCAGAGTGTTTCCATCAGATGCTTGGATCCCGCACCTACCACTTACCAAATATTTTCCTCTAAAGTCCTAAGCCAGCCAGGGTCAAAATGGTCTTTGAGTGCTAGGTTTTCCAGTGCAACAAACAAGCAGGTGGGTTTCATGTGTTATCAATTCTCTAGTTAATGTTTGGAAACTCTTAATTGAATAGTTCTGATCAAGCAGTAAATAGTAACACTTGAGGTGAAAAGGAAGTTGCATTCTAATTTACCTTTGAGGATCTTTTTCTTTTCACTTGCTTTCTTCCTTCAACCAGCTGTGAACCTTAACCAGTGGTTTATCCACTCAAGTTTCTTTGAGTCTCTATTTCCGTACCTGTAAAATGGGAATAATTCCATCTATTTGATTTATATTAAAACAAATTATTGAGAGGAATCCTATTGAATCGTGAACATAAGGAGTGTTCTAAAACAATGAAGACCATCGGAAATTTAAATCCTTACCAATTTATGCTCTTTATGTATAAACATAAAATTAGGAACCTGAAAACTGATTTAAAAAAAAAGACCTGATTGAATTGAGAGTTAAATTAGTTTTTGCTTGTATGTTTTTACGTTCTTTAGTCCTGAATAGTGGTGAAAATTTCTCATCCTACACCCCTCTCCCATCCTCCCAACCTTCCATCCTCCTGCCCTTCTGAGCCTCTAGTGTTTATTATTCCACTCTGTATATCTATGTGTACTCATGATTTAGCTCCCCTTTATAAGTGAGAACATCAGAATTTGACTTTCTGTTTCTGAATTATTTCACTTAATGGCCTCCAGTTCCATCCATGTTGATGCAAAAGACATGGTTTCATTCCTTTTTATGGCTGAGTAGTATTTCTTGGGGTGTGTGTATATGTATACAAACACACACACACACACACACACATCACATTTTCTTTATCAGATCACCCATTGATGAACACTTTGGTTGATTCCATATCTTTGCTATTGTGAATAATGCTGTGATAAACATATGAGTGCAGGAATATTTTTGAAATAATGATTTCTTTTCCTTTGGGTACTCTGTAGTGGAATTACTGAATTGAATGGTAGATCTATATTTAGCTATTTGAGAAATCTCCATACTGTTTTCCATAGATGTTGTACTAGTGTACATTCCCCCAACAGCACACAAACATTTCCTTTGCTCTATATCCTTGACAACATCTATTATTTTTTGACTTTTAATCATGGCCTTTCTGTCTGGAGTAAGATGGCATCTCACTGTTGTTTTAGTTTGCATTTCCCTGATGATTAGTGATGCTGAGCATTTTTAATATACCTGTTGGCCATTTGTATGTCTTCTTTTGAGATGTCTGTTCATGTCCTTTGCCTACCTTTTCATGAGGCTATTTGTTTTTATCTTGTTGAGTTGTTTGACTTTCTCATAGATTCCGGATATTAGTCCTTTGTTGCATGCATAGTTTGTGAATATTTTTTCCCATTCTGTAGGTTGCCCATTTACTCTGTTGATTATTTCTTTTGCTGTGCAGAAACTTATTTTAATTAAGTACCATTTGTCTATTTTTTGGGTTTTGTTGCATTTGTTTTGGAGTCTTAGTCTTAAAATCTCTGCTTAGGACAATATCCAAAAGATTTTCCCAGGTTTCCTTCTATAATTTTTATAGTTTCAGGTCTTACATTTTAGTCTTTGATCCAGCTCACATTGATTTTTGCATATGGTGAGAATTATGGGTCCAGTTTCACCCTTCTGCATGTGGCTATCTAATTTTCCCAGAATGATTTATTGAATATGGTATCCTTTACCCAGGGGATGTTTTTGTTGGCTTTGTCAAAAATCAGGTGATTACAGATATGTGACTTTATTTCTAAATTCTCTATTCTGTTCCATTTATCTGTCTATTTTTATACCAGTATCATGTTGTTTTGGTTACTATAGCTTTGTACTATAATTTGAAGCAAGGTAATGTGATACCTCCAGCTTTGTTCTTGGATTGCTTTGGCTATTCAGGCTCTTTATTAGTTCCATATGAATTATAGGATTGTGCTTTCTAATTCTGTGTAAAAAATGACATTGGTATTTTCATAGGAATTGTCTTGAATCTGTAGATTGCTTTGGGACGTATGGTGGTCATTTTAACAATATTGATTTTTCCAAACCATGAGCATGGGATGCTTTTCCGTTTGTTTATGTAACCTATGATTTCTTTCATCAGTGTTGTATAGTTCTCCTTGTAGAGAACTTTCACCTTCTTGGCTGAATATATTTCTCGGTATTTTATTTTTTTAACTATTATTAAGAAATGTTCCCTCTACACCTAGTTTGTTAAGAGGTTTTATTGTGAAGGGATACTGAATTTTGCTGAATGCTTTTCCTGCTTCTGTTGAGATGATTATACGGTTTTTGTTTTAAATTCTGTTTATGTGGTGAATCACATTTATTTGTTTGTGTATGTTGAATTGTCTTTGCATCCCTGAGATAAAACTCACTTAATCATGTATTTTTTTAATGTACTGCTGGATTTGGTTCACTAGTATTTTGTCGAGGATTTTTATATCTATGTTCATCAGGGATACTGATCTGTAGTTTTCTTTTTCTGTTGTAAATTTGCCTGGCATTGGTATCAGTGTGATACTGGCTTTGTAGATGAGTTGAGGAAGATCACTTTCTCCTTGATTTTTTTGGAACAGTTTCAGTAGTATCGATACCAGTTCTTCTTTGAAAGTCTGATAGTATTTCGCCGTGAATTTGACAGGTCTTAGGCTTTTATTGGGAGTTTTTTAAATTAATGTTTCAATCCCATGACTCTATGTGTCTGTTCAGAATTTTTATTTCTTCCTGATTCAATCTTGGAGGATTGTATATTTCCTGGAATTTACCAATTTCCTCTAGGTTTTCTAGTTTGTGCCTGTAGAGTTGCTCATAGTAGTCTCCAACGATCTTTTGTATTTCTGTGGTATCGGTTGCAAAATCTCCTTTTTCATTTCTGATTGTGCTTATTTGAATATTCTTTCTTGTTCTGTATTAATCTAGCTACTGGTCTTTCAATTTTGTTTTTCTTTCAAAGAACCAACTTTTTGTTTCATTGATTCTTTGATTTTTTTTTTTTTTTTGGTCTCAATTTTATTTAGCTCAGCTCTGATCTTTGTTAATTATTTTCTACTGCTAGCTTTGGGCTTAGTTTATACTTCCTCTTATATAGTTTCTTGAGGTGTGACCTTAGGTTGTTAATTTGTGATTGTTTATCTTTTTGATATATACAGATGTTTTAACACTATATACTTTTCTCTTGGTGTTGCATTTTCTGTATTCCAGAGGTTTTAGTATGTTGTATCTCTTTTTCATTTGTTTCAACATTTTTTTTATTTCCATTTTCATTCTATCATTGACCCAAAGATTATTTAGGAGCATGTTGTTTAATTATTGTGTTTTTATATAGTTTTGAGAGTTATGTGATTATAAAAGACAGGTTTAAAGACTCCTCAAAGATACCCAATATACATAGGAAAGCTAGCTTCAGCAACTATCATAGCTACAGGCAGTTAGGTAATACAGGAGTTATTTCTTACTAAATTTATTGAAATGGAAAAATGTCAAACAGCTGATTGTTTTTGTTTGTTTTGTTTTTATACTGCTTTAGAGAGTTATTTTCTTACCCACCAAACATTGTTTAAAATTCTCTTCTATCTTACTATTTACATGCTATTTTTCTTTAGTTCTGAGAGTCTTCCTCACCAGCTCACAAATTGAGTATAAGCAGATCAGCTAGAACAGAAAGAAAAATCTCACATGAAATCTATAAAATACATCTCTTAATTCAAGGTTTAATTGATAGTGACAGAGTATAATTTATTCTTATCATCATTGTCATTATTATTTGATAATAATACAGATATTTACAACTTACAATGACAATTATATACTTCTTAAAATTTTTCTCAACAAACGTGAGAGTAGACAGGACAGGTTTTAATCACTTCTACAATCTAAAGGAAATGAATCTCTGGTGGCAGAGTTTTAGGCTTAGTGATAATGAATGTAACAGTTAACTCTGGGATGCAATGTTCATGAAGGATTTTATCTATTTATTTATTCATTCAATTATTTATAATAGGTTTTTACTGTTTTACTTCCATTTTCTGCAAACTACTTGGGCAGATAGTGGGAAAGAAAAGCAATTAATTATATATCAGTCTCTTCTGATAAATAGCAATCCCAAGCCCTTCCCTTCTTACCTAAGGTAGTCTCATTTTGGGTAGTCATTCACTGAACACTAGGCATCTTTATTATATTTTACACTTCAGGTTGTCTACTAGCAGAACTTCTAGCAAGTCTTGCAAGCAGAAATGTGTGTGTGAGAGAGACAGAGAGAGAGAAACAGAGAGAGAGAGATAGAGAGATTGGTAAGTATGTGATAGTGTGTGCTTGATTGTGTGTTTTTATATGACAAGTGTGTGTATGTGTGTGTAACAGGGATGGCAAAGGAGGGAATAATCCTGAACCCTTCTCTGTGTGTGTGTGTGTGGAGGCAATGTCTGCTCTTGAGAGAAAGTACCCAGAGTAGTTGACAAGCTTGTTATCTATTTCTCTATTTGTTTTTTTTTTCTTTCTCCCCCTAATTCCTCATCTGGCATTAGCTGGCTTCTGACTCTCTCTAAACTGCTGGCATAAGAATGCTGGAATCTTATGGGACACATATTTGGATTATTGAGAGATTCATGGAAGCTTCTTTTTGAGTAGTTTTCCTACATGAGTAACCTGTGAAAAAATGATTTATCTTTCTCTTCATGCCTCCAGGAAAAATGTAGCTCATTTCTGCCCAACTTCCTTCGCTCTGATACAGCTGCTCGTTTAGGGAGCTCTCCTGCCTTCTACAGTGTTCTTCCTACCCAGGGAAAACTCCTATGTCCTTGCCAAGTAGTGAGAATGTAGGCTGCCCCAGGTTCCCTTTGTCTCATTTATACCTACTCCCCACCATCCCATACCCTCATCTCCATTCACTGTTGATTCCAGGAATGTCTACCAATTTGGTGGTCCAGAGACTTTTGACAGGTAGGAATCTCCTTCTGAGCTTGGGCACAGGTCAGATCTAGCACCTCTGCCCTTTTCCTCACTACATACCACCCATAAAAAGAGATGGATGCTTCAAAAATTTTGCAACAAAAACAACAACAAAACTTCTTGCTTTGAATTGCTATTTTTTCCCCAATTTTGTTGGTATTATGGACTAAATATGTCCATCCTAAATAAACATCCTTCCAGAACTCATGTTGAAATCCTCACCCTCAATGTGACCTGGGGCCTTTGGGAGATAATTAGTTTATGAGGATAGAGTCCTCATAAATGAGATTGGTACCCTTATAAGA